GGAAATTATATTTAGTTGTGAAAAACTAGCCAGGTTTTTTAGTCGTTTTGAGAACATTAATGTTCTCAAAATATCTTGGTGCGAAAGAATAAAAAGAATATTTGTGAACACTAAAAACCCACCAAATTAACGAATAAACTAGTTCTATTGGTTCAAAAAATACGCCGACAAAGCGAAATAAAGTTCTTGAGTATTCTGTTGAAATGTTTTAGAAATTGTATTATTCACGATTTGTTCCGTTTTGAGATTTCTAGCATAAATTGTTTTAAGAATATATATTATTTGTTTACAAAAATAAATGTTTTTAATACATAATTATTAAATTGTCAAAATTTTTAAAGTTTATTATAAATTATAGATTTTATTAGTATATTCTTATTTTTTATTTAAAAAGTATGTATTCTTCATGTAAATGTAATTGTGTGTATCTGTTTTTTATCGTAATGTATCTTTTAAAGCAATTTTTATGATTTAAACAAAGACTTACAAAAATATTTGCGTTTTCAATAAAGTTATAATCGTCAAAATTAATAAAATTAATTATGTAACAAACATATAAGAAGTTTCTGGTTACTAAACACAAACAATGCATACGAAGTAACTCGCAGATGAACAAGCACCGCGTACGACAGAACACAAATATTTATAGCAAATAATTAGATACAAAGAAAAGTTTCTAGATAATGGTTTAATAACTCTAATTATTGTCGCTTAAGTTGCCATTCTTAAAACTCTTTATACTTTTTTCTGCTTTAATACTAATTAAAATTAAAAAGCCCACTCACTAAACATCATCAGCGATATTGTGAAGCAGTTTCGCTTCCTCGTCGTTAAGTATTTTTAACCTTTTTGTTGATTTCTATCTTGTTAATTTAATTTCTATAGTAATTCAATGATTTAATTATTTCATTTGTTTATCTTACTAAAAAGAATTGCTTCAAATATGTTAAACTTTTCAAACTACGCAAAACATAAAATAGGTATTAAAAAAATAAACTTTTTTATTTAAAAAAAAATTTAGCTTAAATAAAACTAAAACTTGCAAACTTTGTTAATAAAGAATATTTGTTTCCTTTTTAAACAATCGTAAGTTGTTACTTTATATAAAAAACATCGCATAACTTTATAAAAAAAAAATTATAAAAGAGCGATGTTTCGAAAATATTTGCTCTAAACTTAATTTATTTAGCTTTAATTTTTCTTTTTTTGTAATTGTCTCTCATCGGTCCAATTAATCTTAATCGCTTTTTTTTTGCTTTTAAAAATGTTCTTAAAACGACTAAAGAATCTGGCCAGCTTTTCGCAACTAAATATTATTTACGTGGTCAGCAATCGAGAGCGATCGCTCCCGCTTCCCCACCAAGCCTGTATATTATATATATATATATATATATATATATATATATATATATATATATATATATATATATATATATATATATATATATATTATATATATATATATATAATATATATATTATATATATATAATATATATTTTTTATATATATAGGCCTCAGCGGAATTAAATTAGCACGAGAACAGAAACTCTACTCTTTGTTTTCTAGTAACTCCCAACCTAATAGTAGAGGCGCTTTTGTTAAAAAGATTTCTTTTGAAAAATGGACTTAAAATTTTTTGTTTCTTACTAATTCAATATCCTGTAATGTTTAAAGTAAGTTTTATTTATGAACAAAGACTATATTTACAAATGATTTTTAACATGGTTTAAAATTAAATTTAATTACAATGTGGTACTTTAAATGACACAATTTAAAGTTACGTTTATAAGCATTTTTGTTACGCAATCAAATCTTGTAATGAGGTCAGACTGTACTTGTTAACCACAGCTTGTAGCGCTTAACTAAATTGAACTGTTTTTGTTTCACTAGTTCTGCAATATTTTTGTATATATTTCAAGCCTTCCCAGTAAAGGCGTGCAGTTTTTCGTCACCGTTTGCAAGTTTTTTAATATTCGCTGCTGACAAAAGTTTTAAAAACAAAATAACAAAATATAAATATAAAATAAACTTCAATAGAAAATAATAATTTAAATAATTTAAATAATTTGTGTACTGTTTTTATTTTTGTTTCTTCATAGTGGTTATTATTTTCGGCAACAAAATTCGGCAAGTCAAAGCAAAAAAAGAAAAGTTTTTAACATTAAAAAGAATGATTTTCCTATATTTTGTTTTTTTTTAATGGGGAAAGTGAAAATATAAATTGTCATCTGTTGGTAAAATATGTTTGCATAACTTTAATGTAACAAGTATATATCAAGGAGTGAATCAAGCGATCGCGATTTGCAAACCCTGGAAAAATATCTGATCTTTAAAATTTTAGTTTATGCAAAGCTGTGTACTTTATTTTCAAGGAGCAAATTATTATAATTTTGTTAGTGAGAAAAGTATAAAAACAAAACAAAGAATAAACTTTCGACTACAAAAGTAATAACACTCTAGTCACTAACTGCAATATAAAAGTAATAAAACTATAATAGTGTTACTACTTTTATAAAGCACTTATTACTTTTAAAGTTAATTCTTTCTTCAAACAACATTAGTAATTCTAAACAATAATTAAAGTAGAAAAGCATCTAGAAAAAATAAAGCGGATAATCAAATATTAAAAATTTAAAAATTCCTTGTAAAAGGAATTTTTACAAATCATTTAAACAAACGCACTTAATAAAAAGTTAAGCATTATGAAAAACGTCACTTATAGTCCGTATAATTGCGCGTTTAATTTTAAAATCAACCAATAAAAAATTTTTATTGGTTGATTTGAAAATTAACGCACATTTTTACGTATCATTAGTAACGTTTTTAATAATGCTAAACTTTTCATACATTACGTTTTGATAAAATTACGTTTACGTTTGTATAAGTTACTTGAGTTTAAAATATTATTTGAATATCCACTATTTTTTTCTAGATGCTTTTTTACTTCAATTAAAATTTGGGAGAACTTATCTTATTTGAATAAAGAATGAATTATAAAGTTATAAGTGCGTTATAAAAGCAATAACAATATTATAGTGTTATTGCTTTTTTATCACTAGAGTGTTATCACTTTTGTATTTGTAAGTTTATTGTTTTATTTTTCATAACTTTTTTGCTAACAAATTAAAGTTGATTTGCCCCTTAAAAACAAAGAACATGTTTTTGTATAAACTAAAATATTGAAGACCAGATATTTTTTCAGATTTTGCTTAATTCAACTCTTAATTCAAGTTAATTCAATTGTTTAATTCAACTCTTGTTATATAAATACATTTTACAAATACATTGCAATTTATATTTTCGCTTTCCTCTTTAAAAAAAGTTAAATCAAGGAAAATTATTCTTCTATTATAGACTTAAAACTTTTTTTTTAAATTTCGCCTTATCTAATTTTGTTGCTGATTGTAACAAAATTAGATAAAAATTTATGTACTGTTTTTATTTTTGTTTCTAAAGAAACAAAAATAAAAACAGTACATAAATTATCTAAATTATTAATTTCTTTTTTATTATCTAAATTATTAATTTTTTTTTAATTTAAATTTCTTTTTATTTCCTATTTTGTTAGTTATGCTTTTTTATTTTTAAAACTTTTTTTGCCATGATTAATATTATAAAACTTGCAAACGGCCATGATCAAGTTGTCTAAAATGAAATACTCTTGCGTGGTCATACAAGACAAAAAACCGCACGCCTTTCCTAGGAAGGCTTGATATTTGTTTTTTTACTTTCTGAATTTCTTCATTTTTATGTCAGGGATTCTTAAGTGCCAGGATATATTCATATTTAAGAGAATGTTTAAAAAAAAAAATGTCTAGGCTGAATTTTTCAACTAAAACAATAAATGTATACTAAGAAAAACTAACTTTGTAGTTTTAGTGGTAGCTTTTATTTTCTATTTTAGACAGAATTTCAAGTCTTTAAAAGATATGAGCTTTTATTTTGATGCTATCTAAAGACTTTAAAGTTCATTCAAGTGTAGTTAAATCCAAAGAGCTTTAGTGTATGACGTTATTGTAGAATTTTGATAAGAAACCTAGAAATTCTATAATTTTTTTTCTTTATAAATTAATGAGCAATTTTTTTAGTTATTTTGCATTAAAAATGTGAATAAAATGTTTCTACAACAACATCATTTTTATACTAAAACTCTTAAGAATTAAACACGCTTGAATAAGTTATAAAGCCTGTGGATACACGCAGCATTAAAATTTGACTAAAATAGAAAATACATACTTGATCTAAAACTACAGTTAGTTAGTTTTTCTTGGTTTATTTTTACTGTCTTGTTTTAATCAAAAAAATTTAGCATAAATATATTTTTTTAAACATTCTTTTTTTGTTTTGTTTCCATTCTATCCATGCTGAAATTACATATAAATTACATATAAAGTTCATTTTCATTTACATCATCTGATGTGAAAATTAAAAATTGACTTTCGCATAAAATTTTAATGAAAATTAAAAATAATTAATTAAACTAAAAATTAATATAAAATGCAAATTTTTATTTCTTAATTTTATAACAGATATTAGCAGAATAAAAATAAATTAACATTAATTGATACCTGAAACTAAGTCACATGTAAAGATAAAAAAACTAATTAACTACCATTATTTTTTGTTTGTAAGATTTTAATTTGTTGACAAAAATAAACATCAATTAAATTTTTTTATACAAAGTAATTTTTATAAACAATTCTATACCCTATCCTGCAAAAAATTTGCAAAAGTATGAATGATGTTTTCAAAACACAATCATATCAGCAAAAAAAAACTTCACAAGCCATAACTTTTAAATATTGAAAGATACCTGAACTGGCTGGTTATGACCAGTTTCCTGTTAATGGCCAAATCTGGGCCTAATAAATTGTCAATATTGAAAGATGCAGAAGTTTATGGAATTTTATATTGATAAATGTAGAAGTTTATTTTAAGTGGTAATATTTTTATAACATTAAATGCAATAACAGTAATATTAAGAAAAGTAATTCTTACATTATTTGTTTCAGACTTCTTTACGAATGCTCTTAATTGTTCTTTCTCAGATTGCAATCTGTCAATCTATCAATATACAAATAATGAACTAACTGCAAAATAAAACAATTATTCCATTTAATCAAAAAAAAAAAAAAAAAAAAACCTCTTGATTTGCTGCTACTAGATCTTCTTCTAAACTATTTGCCTTTTCAACAGCCATTCTTAGTTTTTCCCGAATCTGAAAAATAGAAAAAATATTCTTTTAGGTTAAAATGCATAAATTGCAAATAAGAGAAAAGATTTAAGTTTGGCCAGGCAACAAGGATTCAAATCAATATATCAACTGTAATCTGCTATTTCAGAAACATATAATATGGATTTGGTTAAGTAAGAAATAAAGGAAAATAATCTTAAACATCTACAAGTAATTTCTTATATATATATATATATATATATATATATATATATATATATATATATATATATATATATATATATATATATATATATATATATATATATATATATATATATATATATATATATATATATATATTATTACATACTTTTTCATCCAGGGCTTTATGATGTTCAAAAAGTGATTTTAATGCCTTTAGAACCTCTACTTCAGAAGAAACACCAGCTGAGGATTGAGCCTGACGCTTTACAACAGTCATTCGAAGAGATCTTTCATGCCTCGAAACTAAACTCTCTAAATGCTCCAGTAACAGCTAAAATATATTGAAAAATTAATTTTAATGTATTTCAAATACTAACCTGCGTGAAGTAATAGCAAAATATTCTGAATTTTCTGAAAATATTTAACAAAAAGTACAAATATAATAACAATAAAAAACAAAACTTTAATTTGAAAGTAATTTGAAATAAATAAAGTAAATTTTTAAAAATAATAAAATTACTTTAGTATTGTTTCGCTCAGCTTTTAATTCAGCTATTTCTTCATTGCGTTCGTTTAATTTTTCTTTGTTATGAAATAAATCTTTTGCAATATTTACAAACTCCTGGTAGAAACAGCAATATCATTAATACAAATAGCAATATACATTATCAGTGTTTGTAATCAAAAAACTTTAAAAAATCTTCTTTATATTTTTGGAACAAAAATTATACAAATTATAATATTATATAGATAACCAGTGGTGGGAACAGTTAACGCAAAATTTAACTTCGCAAACAGATCTGACGCTAATTTTAAAATTAACTCCATTAAAGTTAAATCATTAAATTAAAGAAATGCTTTTTGTACTAACAGCTAATTGTTAATCCTTACTAGTAAAATAATAATTTTTGAATCTTGTTAGTATTAATTCACATATTCACAGAAACCACTCAATCAAGTTAGAAAATATCTCTATTGGAATATTTTAATCATAATCTATAAAAAATTTAACATACAAACATTAAATGAAATGTAACAAATAGTTGTAGTGTCTGAAAAAAACAAAATTTGAATCTTTAAAAAAGTTTAGAAGATCAAAAATAAGTTTTGCTTTTTTTCATCACGATTCATTTTTTTGATTATCATTTTGAAACATATTCTATTGCAGACCATATGCAAGAATTCACAAAAGATCATATGCAAGAATTCACAAAAATATGTTACAGGTAAAGGGATCTCAGAATGTTAGGTGTTTTTTAAGATTCTGCTAAGCTCCAAATATTTGAGCATATACTTTTTACTTTTGATACTTCTGCTAGATTGCCAAAACGTTTTAGTAGTTTTAAATACAGTTTTCACATGTCCTTAGATGAATATTTAGGATGTACATTTTTCATTGGGGACCTCAGAATGTCAGTTTAAATAATAGGTAGTATTGTTGCCAATATTGCTTAGTTAATCATGAATTTCTAAATATATTATTTTATTTCAATACTGAATATATTTTTAAATGTTAGGTTCACTTATCGTTTATACTTTTTGCATTCCACCACACAATGCTAGGTTAAAGGAAGTCGAAACGCTAGGTAAATGAAAGTTAATTAAAAAAAAAGAAGTTATTTGCATTCAATTTCTTCTCAACGTTATGAAATAAACATTCTGCTTATAGTTTCATCACGAAACCTCCTTCAAAACACACTTTACCATGTTTCCTTTGTTTTCGAACAAATAAATTAAACTAAACACACTTTCCTTTGAACAAATAAATTAAACTAAAGTATGTACTAAAGTAGAGTATAAGTGCAAAAGTTTTGATATTCGTTTGCAGTAGAAAATAAATAAGAAATGGGAAAGTCTTTTAGAGTTAAACCAACAAGCAAATCAAGATGCAATGTTCTAAGAGATGTGATGAAAAGTAAGCAGTTAGAGGAAGCAGTTGAGTGGTGTCGAATAAACAATAAATGTGGTTAGACTCCAATAAATTCAGGAAGATTTCCACTAATTAAAGATCTTAAAACAATTAACAAATGGATTGATGTTGTCATTTTTCTGGAAACGAGAAGGAATATTATTCAATTTTTATAAAAGATGAAGAAGAATTGTTAGTCTGTTATATGAGAAACAAGAATAGGTTATATGTACACATAATTACCCTACCCTTCATCTTCTAGGATTAATTCTTACTTCTGATCTTTCTTGGAAACCATATATCAAATCCGTTGCAAAATTAGCATCTGCTAAAGTTGCTTCTCTTTATCGAGCTTGACACTTTCTTACTCTGGATTCTATTCTCTATCTCTATAAATCTCAAATCCAGCCTTGTATGGAATACTTTTGCCATATCTGGAGCGGATCTTCTAATGATGCCCTTTCTCTTTTAGACAAGGTGCAAAAATGTATTGTAAACTCAAAGTTGGACCTGCTCTTGCAGCCAACCTTCAACCTCTGTCACATTGTCGTAATGTTGCTTCTCTTTCTCTTTTCTAAAAATACTATAATGGGCACTGCTCTAAAGAGCTAGCGTCTCTTGTGCCATCTACTAAAATTCATTCTCGTGTTACTCGTCATTCAATTAAGTCTCATTCTTTTTCTGTTACTGTTCCTAAGTGCTCCAAAAACTCTTACTCGTCTAGTTTTTTTCTCGAACATCAGTTCTTTGGAATTCGCTTCCCTCATCTTGCTTTCCTGATTCATATAATTTGCAATCTTTTAAGTCGTCTGTCAATCGTTATCTTGCTCTACAATCTTCATCTTTTCTATTCCAGTAACTTACAACACTAACTAGTGGTTGCTTGCAGCCTTGTTGGAAGCGAAGATGTTAAAAAAAAAAAAAAAAAAAAACTGTTATAATCTGTAATAAAATCCTGGTTTTCATATATTGTTATTTCAATAATTTATTTAGGTTTATACAAACTCCAAGGTTTATACAAGTCAGAGTTGACAAGGATAATGTTGAATGTTTTGGGAATAAGAAAGCAAGCCTGAACAAACCTCCGAGGATGTCAGTTTACTAAGCTATCACCAAATGCTCAACGAGCACTTCAAACAAAGAAGCTTAGCAAGACTTTTTGGATGCATTGGGGTGCAAAATATCAAAAGTACATTACCAAAAAAAGACAAGGAGCTGTATCCATAAATCGTGTCCTTGACTGCACAAAAGTAATGGTATGTAACCACCACAACAAATTAGCGGAAAAACTTATGGAACGTAATATTTTCATTGATGCAAATCAATTAGAAACAGGTGTTTGGCAGGGAAATATAGATATCACTAGAATTTATAATCATGATGAAACCCCCCAGTTTACAAACTATGGAGTTGATGGTACTCCAAATGGTTTAGTGTATGCTGGGAGAGTTGTCAAAAGATGATAAGAGAAAATAGAGATTGCATAACTATACATCCTTTTGTTTCCTTTGGAGGAGATATAGTAATGTGCCACATCATATTTAAGGGAAAAGGGATTAGTGCCCACATGGCTCCAAAAGAAACAGTAATACGAGTTCAAAACCATCTAATCTCTACAAATGACATTGAAGTCAGGATCACAGTACACTTCTAAGTGCATATCAAATGTTTGACCACTTTTTAGAAAAAATAATATAAAACGGCCTGTTGTTGTCCTATCTGATGGGCACTTGTCAAGATTTGACAGTGATGTATTGACATTTTTAAAAAGCAAAAATATTAGGTTTATCACTCCACCTGATACAACTGGCATTACCCAGCTCCTTGATCAAATCAATCAGAAATTGCAATCTGAGTACAGAAGTGCTAAATCTGTACTTTATTCTTTATTTATGACAATCAACAGAGAAGGTTTCATGAATATACTTGCAGAGTTATGGCCAGAGAGGGCATCAAAACAAACAATCATAAATGCAGGTAAAAAAGTTGGCATTTTAAGTAGAGGACTCAGTGTTAAGTGGATGCAAGAAGATAAGTTTTTACGAGCTGAACTGTTTATTAATACTGAAAATAATCAATTATTAACAGCAGTAACAATTTCATCACCAAAAAATGTTTGCTATGGCTCAGCAAGATATTGAAAACATAAATACGAAAGTGCCATGTTTATGGTGCCATAAATACAATGTTATGTTAATTATCTCTTGTAACTCATATTAACTTTGGAAATTGGTAAATACATTTATTAAAGAAACTGTTATTGTAAGCCTTCCTGGATAGCGGGAACCTGGGCTTGCAAAGTAACACCTAAAATAAATAAGAAAAATGATAGAAATACTCAGGTTCATGGCTCAATGAAGAAAAAAAAAAATTTGGAAACGGTTTCAATAAAGAAAATAAAGAGAGGAAATCCAAGCAACAACAACAAATTGAGGCATTCCATAAATGTAAGGAAGAATGCACATGTGGAAAGAATGTTTGTGCAGCAACTAAGCATTGAGAATGCTTGTGTTACCATAACGTTTTGAAATCTAAATGTAGTAAAGCATCATGTCGAGGTGAAACAGGCTTAAAACCGAATATGATCAAACCATTTTGTGAAATAGGACCCCAAAAATGCCTTCAGTTTGAGTCTGATGAAGATAACGTTGAAGAAAACTTCATTCCTATAACTGATTTTATCCAGAATACAACCTAGAATTCTCTATTCATTGATTTTAGATAAAAGTTTTACTGGATCTTATTTTTATATTTTTTGTTCATAATATATATTTTGTAAGTTTGTTAATGTTATTAAAAAAATATATATATTAAAAGCAATAACTTAAGTTTGTTATATAGTTTTTGATTTGGTACCTCAAAACGTTAAGTGCAGCACCTCAAAAGGCTAGGTATTTAAAAGGCAATTTTAAGAAAATTGGATTTATTCATTATATTCTTTATTCAGATTATTCAACCCTTTCAGAGTTTATTTAAAAAAATCAATTTTTATGTTGGTTTATTTCCAACCTGACATTATGAGGTCCCTTTGCATTCTGAGGTCCTTTTACCTGTAGAGTGCATTTTAAAAATGGATACCATTTATTTACTTAATTCAAAACATAGGAATCTTTGTTTTTAAAATAACTTTCAGTAGAAAATTTTGTAACACAAATATTTCTTTCTTCAAACAAACCAGAGCAGATATACTTAATCTTTGGATATGATCTTTTTAAAAGTTAAAAATTCATCAAAAATGGTCACTTTTTTCATAAAAAAACAAAGGAAAATGAAATATTGATGCTGTTATTATTGTTATTAGGCTTGCGTAAAAACAGTGACATGCGAAAAAATGATTTTTCAATTTTTTTTTTTTTTTGGATTAATGAATATTAGCGGCCAAAAATAATAGTGGAAGTTAACAGCTAACTATTGACTTATAAGTCATAAAATAGTTAGCCAAAACAATTTAAACTGTAACAAAAAAAATAAAAATGCAATGGAATTCGAATGTCTAGAAAGTTTTATTTATTTTATTACTTTAATCAAGTAAATTAGGTAAAACTTAAAACCTCAGCTAATCCATTTTTTTGTTGGTGAAGCCGTGAAATAATAAGATCATCTTCATTATCGAACGATGAAATCTTTTGGATTAACTCATCTCTATCAATATTGCACTAAAAAAAATATAAATATCTATAGTATGAATCATTATTTATTATGTAATACATAAAGGGAAGTTTAAGGGTTGATCTATCAGGTAAAGTATAAGAGAAGCATTTGGATAGAAACAGTTAGCTTACAAAATAACCTAAAATAATTTCAATGTAAAGACATCAAACTTCACAAAACATTAGCAAACATATAAACATAATTGCTTATATAACATATAGAAATTGTAAAATGTTATTAAGGTAGGAATGGCTAAAAAATTATAAACTATGAAGAATAATTAAAATATATGACAGTAATAACAGTAAATAACAGTAATAACAGTAATAACAGTAATAACAGTAATAACAGTAATGCAAATGCACTAATTTTGCAACTGTACAAAATATGAAATTGTTTGATTGTTAAAAATTTTAAAACTAATAAATATATTTTTGCTTCTTTTGCAAATTATTAGGTTAGAAACAGTTAAAAATGTTGTTTTTAAACTAAATGAGTTTTATAATACTTTATATTTAAGTACCAGTTTAATTTGCATTTAATTTACGTGTAAAAAATTAGGCTTCAAAAAAAAATTTATTGAAGGCAAACTAACCTTTGATAAAACAATATCAAACTCCTGTAACAATGTATCTCTCTCAAACTCAACCTCTTTTAAAGAATTTCTCATATTGGCAAGAGCATCTTGAGTATCACGCAACGTTTCCATCAATTTGTCTCTTTCATCTAGCATGTTGACCATAAGTTGCTCAAAATTATTATCTTCCAAACTTCCATCCCCTATCATGTCCCCATCCTCAGACAGGGTAGGCATAATATCACAAATCATTTTAAATTGTTTTCTTTTAGAGGTAAAACCAAGAATATTTCAAATGCTGCATCACTGCATGAAAGTTATACACCTTTCAGTCATTCCATTTTTTAATTGTTATACATTATATATTTTAACATATATTTATATTCCATATTCTAAAAACAGACTGTTATTTGAGTTATAATAGCAATATATATATATATATATACATTTATACAATTATATTTGCGTATGTACATGTTTATGTATATGTATATATATATATATATGCATATATATAATATATATATATATATATATATATATATATATATATATATATATATATAATAGATATATATATATAATATATATATATATATATATATATATATATATATATATAATATATATATATATATATATATATATATATATATATATATATATATATATATATATATATATATATGTAATATATATTTATATATATATATCAACCCTTGGAATTAGGGTCGGCATTCGGCAATGCCAACCTAACTGCCAACCTGAAAGTGTTTGAGGCTGGCGAAAAATTGCTGACCTCGTTTCTATGTTTTATGATCAGACCTTTGTATCAAATAAATTTTGCTGACCTTAAAAAAATTGAGGTGGGTAAATTATTCCCGACCTCGTTTTTCCTAATTCTGAGGGTTGATATATATAATATATATATTTATATATATAAAATTGAAAATACATCATATACGGTGACATACTATTTATTTAACTATTAAAATTTTTTAATTTTAAATGTGATATTTCGGCTCATATAGTTGGAGCCATTTTCAAACTAAAATACGTTACAAAAATTTCGTTATTTACAAAAATGATGTCATCGCTGCGTAATATTACAAAAGTTTTTCTTAAATTTTAAAAAAAATGGTTTCCAATGGTGAGTCGTCACTAGGTTGCTATTATCTCGGTTTAGAATTTTATTTTTTAGATAGCAACATTGCAATCTGTCTATTTCAATTGCCTCCCTGATTTTTCTCGTATAATTATTTGGGATGACTGAAAGTGTTTTTGGATTATTCCAATTAATTATACCTTTGCAATGTTGTACATGTTCAACAATTCCAGACGCTTTCCAGTTCGCTTTAGTCACGTTTTTTTGATGTTCAGCTATTTGTGTTTTTATCTTTTTTCTGGTTTCACCCACATAAAAAGGGCCACATGTACATTCAAGTTGGTAAACACCCGGGTAACTGTTTGGTGGTAGCTTTGATTTATTTTGGCATAATATGTTCGATAAAGATCTACCAAAACGAAAAACTGTTTTTATGCAATCTTTTCGAAACTCACGTCTAAGAATAAGGCTTAATTTAGGAACCCACGGAAGTACTATGGTATTATTTGTGTTAATTTGTTGGCGGTTTTTTGTTTGGGATGGTTTGTAATGTTTTACAATGTCTAGAAGTTGTTGCTGAGAATATCCATTTCTTTTTCTATATTATCTCTATTGCATAAATTATAAGCTCTTGCAAGAAAACCTTTAAATATTCGTATTGCAATATATGGTGATTAGGGGTGTCCCGGATAGCATTTTTCAGTTATTTGGCCGGATACCCGGATATTTAACAATTATCCAGCCGGATATCCGGATACGGATAATGTAAGATAAACATTACATTAAAACAAATGTTACCGTAAATAAAAACAATTACATTAAAACATTAAAACAAATGTTACCGTAAGATAAACATTACATTAAAACAAATGTTACCTTTAAAATGGCAAGTTTTATTTGGAAAATTAGTGATAACTGTGATTCTATAGCTATTCGCATTCCATGTGGAAAGCAGATAAGCAGGTGGTGTAGTAAATCTAGTCAGCAGTTAAAAATCAAAGAAGTATAACTGGACTTTCATCAGTTGTTATTTATAGAGCTACCAGCTTCACAACCATTATCTCAATCATTTAACGCCAAAATCCAAAAAAGAAAAAAGTTGATTTGGAAGAGAATGACTTTAACACCGGTTTTTTTGAACTTGCAGAATATGAAGAAAATTTAGGTAAGAAAATCTCTTTCAGTTTATTAAAAAAAGTTTTTTATAATTTTAAAAACTTTTTTGATAAACAGAAATACTTTTTATTAAGTTTTTTTTTTTTTAATAACAGCTATGTTCTGCATGTTGTGGGTTTGCTAATTTAAGTATTATATACTTATTATTGAATGAAAATATATAAATAAATAAATCATCTTTAGTAATTAAATTCTTTTATATTACAGAACAAAATGGTGAAATAAATCCTGATCAAGTCTCCCTTGTAAAAGCTGCTCAAGAAGTTGATTTTTTCTTTAATCACTCGATGATAGAAAAAAAGAACGTTTTTAATTATTGGAAACACAAAGAGAAGTTTCATTTCTAAAAGAGCTAACTTTTAAATTATTAGCACCTCCAACATCCTCTGTATTTTTGGAGCAATTGTTTTCCGAATATGGATTATTTTCAAGAAAAAGCTATCAAGACTGTTACCTCAAAGTGGAGAAGTATTACTATTCATTCATCATAATGGAAATAAATTTATAAATGAGTGATAAACTGAACTATTTGTTGCGTTTAATTTTAATAGTATATGAATAATAATTTTATTATTAATAATAATGACAATATTGTATAGAAACCAATAACATTAGATTATTTTAAAATATAACATTTCTTGGTTTATTAAATCTTTAAATTTCTAAATAACATTAACTTGAAATATCCAGTTTATCGAAAACCGGATTATGTTATTATCAGGCCAGATAACGGATATCGAATAATACTGATATCCAGCCTGGATATCTGGCCGGATAGCTTATCCGGGACACCCCTAATGGTGATATACAAGACTGCGGTTTTACAAGAACATTCGCTATTGCATTTTTGTGGTATATAGAAAAGTTATATTTATGAGTTATATGATTAGTTGAAATGCAGATGTCTAAGAAATTAAGTTGATCTTGATCATTTTGGTATTCGCATGTGTATTGAATAGCTTTGTCTTGAGAATTTAAAAGTGTCAAAAACGATTCTGCTTTATCAGAGTTAGAAAAACGTGCATGGCAGTCATCAACATATCGTTTAAATAATAATGGTGCAACATTAACGGTTAATGCTTGTTGAATTGCATTATATTCAATATGCTGAAAGTAAGCTTCTAAAATTACTACCATTACGGATAATCCAATCGGACTAGAGTTTTTCAAGATATAAATTTTGTTATCCCACAGAAAATAGCATTTACTTAGACAAAGTTCAATTAATTTATGGATGTCAGTTAAAGATAACTTAGTGCGCAGCTGAAGATCATCTTTATCGTTATTTGAAATTTCAATAATAGCTAAAATTGTTTTATCGAGTGGTACTGACGGATACATATTTATAACGTCAAAAGATCTTTATCGAACATATTATGCCAAAATAAATCAAAGCTACCACCAAACAGTTACTCGGGTGTTTACCAACTTGAATGTACATGTGGCGCTTTTTATGTGGGTGAAACCAGAAAAAAAAAAACACGAATAGCTGAACATCAAAAAAACATGACTAAAGCAAACTGGAATACGTCTGGAATTGTTGAACATGCACAACATTACAAAGGTATAATTAATTGGAATAATCCAAAAACACTTTCAGTCATCCCAAATAATTATATGAGAAAAATCAGGAAGGCAATTGAAACAGACAGATTGCAATGTTGCTATCTAAAAAATAAAATTCTAAACTGAGATAATGGCAACCTAGTGACGACTCACCATTGGAAACCATTTTTTGTTAAATTTAAGAAAAACTTTTATAATATTACGCAGCAATGACATCATTTTTGTAAATAACGAATTTTTGTAACGTATTTTAATTTGAAAATGGCTCCAACTATATGAGCCGAAATATCACATTGAAAATTAAAAAATTTTAATAGTTAAATAAATAGTATGTCACCATACATGATGTATTTTCAATTTTATATATAAATTTTATCATACTATTAATATATATGATATATATTACAGGTTTACAGGAGCAATTTACAGCTCTCGGAAAAGTATTTTTTTTTCTTTCAAAAGTATAACTATGATTGTTACTAAAATGAAAAACGCTAAGTCAAAAAAATTTAATTAATCGGATAATAAAAAGGTGCGGTTTTTATTATCCGATTAATTAAAATTTTAAATCTAAAGAATTTTTCCACAACACAATAAATGATGCCTGTTATGTGTATTATTATAGTAACATTAACATTACAAACATATGCTTATAACAAGTATATAACCAAGTTTTGTATTTAATAAGCAATTTTTATATAAAGAAACAGATAGCTTGTGAAAAAATCAAAAGCTCTCGTAAAAAGCAGTTTAGAGGAGCAGCTTGCATGGCTTGCCATGTTTGTTCAAGAAAAGCTTTTCTCCGCTCTCGCGCTCAATTAGTCCCGCCGAGGGCTGATATATTATATACTGCTACAGGCCTTGTTACGAGATTTCGCTGTGTAACGAAAAAACAACACGTGAATAAATGTAACTTTACTCAATAAAGATATTTACATTTTTAAAAGTTAAATTACGTCAGTTGGGTTTTTACTTCATTGTAATTAATCTTAAAATTTAATTACAATGAAGTAAAAACTATTGTTAGTCTTTGAAACAAAATAGCTTTAAATTGAACAAAGTTGTTATAAAAAAAACAAAGTTTTAATGTTGATTAAAAAAAAGTCTTCTTGTATTAAAATCTTATACTTATTTAAACTTAATTTTTTTGCTTTTAAACATTTGTTTTATAGTTATTTTTTTTTTATATTTTTTTAAATAATTTAAATTTAACACTTGTTTATGGTTGATTTTCTTAAAGGGATTTAAATTTTAAATGCAATTACAACTAAACGCATAGATTGGGTTTTCCCCTTTTAAAAAAAACGTTTGCACTAATTGGTTTTGATAAAATAAATATTGTAAAAAAACGAAATTTACTGCTTTTTTGGCTTTGTTTTTTTTTTATTTCCATTAAAATATTTTATTTTTATGTACAGTGAAACCTAATGTATTTGTACTATTTTTTTACTCAATCCAAAAAAAAATAATAGTGTTTTTGGTTTGTTTTATAAAAAAAATTCTTCTGCAAACGGCAAAGGGAAAACCTAAACATAACATTTATAACTCGAGTTTAAAAG